GAGAGAGAGAGAGAGAGAGAGAGAGAGAACTGTCCCGTCTAGAACGGAGGGTTAAAAACCAGGTATGGCTCATTTGTTAGTGCTGTGAATGGATCCAGGCCCGGAGAGGTGCCACCTCACGGGGACGATGTTCTCAGCACGGCCCAGGTGCTCGGGTTAGGACGGCGTACGTCTCCCATCTAGTGTCCCACTTAACCAACTGCAGCTGCAGCACTAAGACTACGTCTGTTACAGGAGATCATCCAAGTTTGGCAAGGAAAACTCAAGGAGCTTGCTGTGCTGAGCTGATCACATCCTCACTGCGAGCCTTTGTCGATCAGCCATGACATGTCTCCTGTCCTGCAGGAAAATAATACAATGCAGAATATCGAAAATCGGTCAATGTCCTTTTTAGTTAAGAAGGTTCAAATGCAAGTAGTATGTGTCAGAGTTATAATCATTAACTAAAACTGTTAAAATATTTTTTGTTAAATGAAATAAAGCTAAAAAAAATAAAATATTAGGTAAATGGAAATTATAAAGTGAAATTTAAAAATTCAAGTTCAAAAAAACACCGAACTAAAAGTACAACGGGCATAAAAATAAACTCAGACCGATGAGCTTTGTAAAAATCGTTTCAGAAAGGCGGGGCATAGAGGAGAAACAATAATGTACAGTATGTGGAAAATAATGTGTTTTTTGAACCTTAAACACATTTCATTACACCAAATACACAAAATAATGTTCTTTTTAGCACCATCATATGACCCCTTTAAATAATAATATTAAAAAAAAATTTAAAAAGAGAAAGAAACAACAAAAATACAAAAAAATTAAATTAAAATGTAAAAATATTAAAATAAAAATTACAAATATAAAAATTAAAGCTAATTCAAAATAAAAACATCTTAATGGGCCCTATTTTAACTAAGCGCATGGTCTAAAGCGCACGGCACAGGTGAGGGCGTGTCCGAATCCACTTTTGCTAATTTAACGACGGGAAAACGGTCGGTGCACCCGGGCACATGGTCTAAATGGGTTGTCCTTATTCTCTTAATGAGTAATGGGTGTTTTTTGGGCGTAACGTGCAATAAACCAATCAGAGTCTCATCTCCCATCCCCTTTAAAAGTTGCGCTCGCGCCATGGCAGGTTCGCTATTTACATGGCGGAATGTAATTTTTCATTTTGAAAAATGTTTGTGTGCTGCTGCTGTGCTTTGCTTATTACACTTTGTGTAATAAGCAAAGTGTATGCGCGTTGTACAATGGCTTATAGGCGCATATTATTAACGCGCTCTTTAAATAACAAAGAAAAAATATTGCGCCAGACTTTAGACCAGGTTTGAGTAGTCTATTTTCAGTTCCTCAAAAAAGCAATACGCCAACAATGCGCCTGAACACATCACTTTTTTAGACCAGCACGCCCAATGGGCGCAAATGCATTTGCTATTTAAAGGGGTCATTTGCACAAATTCGAACATCTGGGTTGTGCTGTTCTGTTGTAAATAAATCTTAACCAATGATTCCTAATTGCATCTACTTCCAGAAGGCCAAATAAAGTGCTTTTGGTGCTAAAGTGCTTTTGGCTGCATCAACACTACTGCTGTTCATGAAACCACGCCTTCTTTCTTTGCATGCACATTTGGGTGACATTATGCTAATATTTCCACATAGTGAGGTAGACATGTGGGGGCGTGTTAGAACGAGCCGTTTTAGGTAGGCGTAGCTGACTCTTAACTTTTATAAAGAATATATAAAATATAAGTAAAAGTATAAAAGTCTTTGCAACTTTACAGATCTTCTTTATGCACCAAGAGCTTGTAACACTCCAAAGAGAACGGAAAACTTGAAATCGCATCATATGACCCCTTTAAACAATATGGCGCAGGATGGGAAAATAAGAACTGCGTCGGGCTCAAACTAGCAAAAACACTTGCGCCGCATTGTGCCGGGTGTATGATAGGGCCCAGTATGTTAACAATACTAAAATAACACTGGTGCACGTCTTATGTTAGACACAATGTAAAATAATGTAGGTCATGTTTCCACACTTGCCAGGTTGCACAAACATTCTTGAATTAAGAGTAAACGCTTTTGAATGAGGCAAAAATAAACTCATTGTAATGGGGATTTTCTCATACTCTGTGTCGTAAACTGAAAGAAGTCTCTTATGCTCACCAAGGGGCATTTAATTGATCAGAAATACCGTTAAAAAACAGCAATATTATGAAATATTATTAAAATTTGAAATCACTCTTTTCTATTTGAATATATTTGAATATGTAATTTATCCCTGTGATGCAAAGCTGAATTTTCAGTATCATTACTCCAGTCTTCAGTGTCACATGATCCTTCAGAAATTGTTCTAATATGCTGATTTACTTATTATATTTCTTATTATAATCAATGTTGAAAACAAGTCTGAACTGTCACTTTTGCTTTGACATGTTTAAACCATGGAAAATCTTACTACATCTGTTGTTTTCTGTGAAAATAGAAAATGTTCTTACTCCACGTCACGTTTCCTAATCGTCTTTCCAGAGCCAAAGACTTCTGCAACCCGTGACACAATGGGGTCGTAGTTCATACTGGCCACGGCCACCACCTCCTCACTCCTGTAATCACCGCAGATTAAACACACAACACACACGGGAAATACTGTAAGAACTCAAATATTTGTAAACTCTGCTACAACAGCAATAATGTAGTATAATATTAAATACTTCTGTAAATCATACAATAATACATTTTTAAATGTTCTGACGTAAACTGAATAGTGCTTGTCCATGCAAGACTCACAGTCACAATGCAATAGTTGCCAGGTCATTTCTAAGCAGTTGCTAAGGTGTTCATGAGTGGGTTTAAAGGAATGGAAAAAATACTATGGAAGTCAATGGCTACCAGCAACTGTTTGGTTATTAACATTCTTCAAAATATATTCTTTTGTGTTTAACAGAAGAATTTCATATAGGTTTGGATGGAACAACATTCCATGCAAGACTCACAGTCACAATGCAATAGTTGCCAGGTCATTTCTAAGCAGTTGCTAAGGTGTTCATGAGTGGGTTTAAAGGAATGGAAAAAATACTATGGAAGTCAATGGCTACCAGCAACTGTTTGGTTATTAACATTCTTCAAAATATATTATTTTGTGTTTAACAGAAGAATTTCATATAGGTTTGGATGGAACAACATGGGGGGGGGGGGGGGGGGGGGTGAACTGTCCCTTTAAGTATGTTGCAGTGTGTTTGCATAAAACACTAACTCTGTATAAGCAATTATAACGGTGATATTTGCCTTAGCAAGTGACGCCCAGTAAATCTGGTTATTATTTTGATCTATTTCTTTCATCTGTGAGATTAAGATCTTTTTTCACTTTGATTATATACTTATATAGTTTAGTCCCTGCAACTCATTTTAATCAGAGACTCAGTTATAACTAATCAATAATGCTTTCTGAGTAAATCACTTGTGTAAAAGATTTAAGTTGTCAATTGTTTTTTATTGAATTTTTAAAAAAATATATTATTTTTATATTATTATTTTTAAGTACTCTGATCAGTTACATCAATAAAACGACATGATTAATTCATAATTGTATGAACCCCATTTAATCTGACTACATACAGTTGTTTTATTAAATTATAAAACAATTAGAATAAAACAAAACAATAAAAATATATGATTATTGCAATAGTATAGTACCATAAAATAAAAAAATGAGTACTTCATAATAATATATAACAATATAATAATTTCCTTATCTAAATTAGAAATGATTTTTGATGTGATCGTTTTAATGCCTGGCTCAAATTAAGAGAAATAAGTACCAAATCAACTCACTTTGTGTAGAATGCCACAAATTTCAGCTCATCCAAATCTCCCTGGATGACCACATCATCAAAGCCATCTCCATAACCTTGACAATAAGATTAAAAAGCACTTGTGATGCATCAGAGGAGCACTGACACTGAAACTAAAGTGTGGCGCTTTTTTTTTTTCATGTGTATTTTTAGTGCTAGACATTTGTCCTTACCTGCATATCGTATGCTTTTCCCAAACATTGCTGTCCAGAAATAAGGCACCGTTTTAATGTCTGAGGCTTTTCCCATTATGCTAAGTGCAGCCACTCTACCTGTGGTGGAAGACCACGTAAAAATTTAAAAATGAATGAAATTATATTTATTATTCATAAAAAATGGCATCTTTGGCATAAGCACGTGAATATATCCCAATGTGCTACAGGTCTTACCGTGTACGTGAGCCATCTGCCAGTGGGGTATGTTCACCTTCTTATTGCTACGTAGAGCTAGAGGAAACGTTACCACATCACCCCCAGCGAAGACCCCGTCAATGTTCGTCTGCATGGTCTGAAAGGGTTAAAGGTATATGTTTACATACGCTTTGTACTGTAGCTTGTCTTTTGTAGCTTATTATCATAAAATACTCTAAAACAACAATTTATTACAGCTACAATAGACACAAGCATGGGCAGATTAGCACAGGTTGCAGAAACACACACGTTCTGAATGGCACCAGATGTTAATGTGCTAGAAGATGCAGTAACAGATGTACAGTACATATAATTAATTAATAATGAATAATTTATGCATTTAGCAGACGCTTTGACTTACGGTGCGGTGCATTCAGGCTATACATTTTTTACCAGTATGTGTGTTCCCTGGGAATCTAACCCACAACCTTTTGCGCTGCTAATGCAATGCTCTACCATTGAGCCACAGGAACAAATGGAACAGCAGTGCTCAAAGACTGAACCTTATTGACTGGGATGAATCCTTTGGAGTCCATGTGCACTCCGCTCTGCTTCAGGAATGCTGTGGCTGGACTGGAGCCTAAACACACACACATACTTATGATCAGGAGGACCCCAGAACAAATTTGTATTTTATATTGGGGCATGTTGTCATATGTGTTTTAAATCTTTGCTTTGCTTTGTTTCATGAATTGTTTTGTATTTCATAAATGTTTTACTGTTTAAATCTTGCTGAAAAGCCTAGTTAATTGCAAGTTTAGTAATGTGACAACATGCCCCACTATGTTCAGTGAATGTATTTTAATACACACACACACACACACACACACGCACACATGCTACTGTTCAAAAGTTTGGGGTCAGAATTTTTTTTAAAGAAATTAATACTTTTATTTAGCAAGGATGTGTTGAATTGGTCAAAAGTGACAGTTAAGACTTTTAGAATGTTACAGATTTTTTCTATTTCAAAGAAATGCTGTTATTTTGAATGTTCTACTCATCAAAGAATCACAGAAATAAGCTACATTTTAAAATATATTTTTTTTCTATATATTTACAGTTTCAAATGTAATTTTGATCAAACAAATGCAGCATAAGTGAGCAAAAGAGACTTGTTTCAAAAACCTTAAAAATATATATATTTATTTTTGTAGCCAAGACTACAATGGGACTTGAAATGGGAAAGTGAGAGAAAAAATGAAAAATGAGAAGCCAAATTTCAGTAATCACACAGACTCACCTATGCCAATAACACAGACGTCAGCTCTCAAGACTTTGCCACTTTTTAGAACCACTTCTTTTAACTTTTGAAACAAAAATAAAAATCAGTTTAACGTTAATGTCATAGTTGCCCATTTTCTTACCACCATGACTTATAATACAGTGTCCAAATCTCATTATGTTATTTCTTTAGGAAGAAATATTTATCAAAGTGTAATTTCATAATAGATCACAGTTCTGCTTATTCTCAATTATATATTTACTTTGCTGACTGTGTGCTCACTTGTGTTATGAGTTCTGGCCTTTCAGCCCAGGGCCAATCCATTATTGCAAAAGCCATGTTTGAAATTATTCAAAGCTAAGCAGTGTTACTGTGAGAGCAGATGTAATTAATCACTCTACAGGAACGAGAGCAAGAGAAAGAGAGGGACAGAGAGAGAGAGAGAGAGACAGCCCTACACTTCACTGAACTCTTGTTTCTCTCACTTTCATGATACCTGTCCATTATGCCCTCGCATCTCCCACACTTCGTTCAACATGTAGAACTTCACCCTGTTTGACTCGAACAGCTGAAGAGAGAAGCAAAATGAAATAATTAAATGAGAGAAATACTACTTGAATATAGGTTTAATGTGGTTACAGCAAGGAATAATATATAGTCAGCAAATCATTTTCACCCTGTCAGAGTTTATTACGTAAGAAGAGAAAGACAGCACACTATGAGAGATAAGAGAGGTGTGAAACTAGCATGAAACAGCAATGAGAGAAATTAGTGTTCAAGGACAACAAACAGTTATATAGTTTAATGTCATACACACTCTATTTTAATTTAAATTGTATTTATTTAAACATGCTGAGCTTATAAAATGTGTTAAATTAATGCCAAAGCAAATGCAACTGATTTAACATCTACTAAAATATATTGTTAAAACGTAATAATTTTTTTAACATATCTACTCAAAGAATATATACACCAGAGATGCCGAACCAGGGCCCCATGACCTTTGATTTGGCCTTCCATGCCATATCATAAGAGGGGAAAAATAAGAAAAAAATATATATTTCTACTTTTTATTTCTAATTCTCTTTTTTTATTTCTAATTTATGATTTTGTTTTAATATGCTTTGTTTTATTTTTGCATTGAAATATAGAGAATACAGTATAAGTGAATTTCATTTTTTTTAAATTACAATATAGCTGGGTATAATGTAAACAATGTAAACCCTCAATGAAATTAGATTTTTGAACCTTCATAAAAAAGTTTGGGCACCTCTGATGTACGCCATTCAACAATTATGTAATGCTTAAATCTTAATATTCTTATTTATTTCATTCTATTTATCTAGTTATTTTCTGTCACCTTCATCAAGGCTTTTCCCACTTTCTCTCCGAGTGCTTTACGGAATGGCACGGCCTCTATGCCGATCACAGACACTGAGTGAGCCTTATCTGTGAGAGCTGCTGCCACCTCCATACCTGAACACAGGACAGTGCATATAATCATTGCCAACACTATGGATATATGGAAAATATATAGTATTATGTTGTCTAATGCAATGACACGGATTCATCTTAAATTGTGGCTTAAAGGTGACATATCATGAAAATCTGACTTTTCCAGGTTTTAAGTGCTATAATCAGGTCCCCGGTGCATCTACCAACCAAGGAAACGTGAAAAAGATTAACCCAGTAACTTTGTTTTGGTAAGACTTTTTCTGCAAGCGTCTGAAAAATAGAGCGCGTCTGATTTCACTCCCCTAGTGACGTTGCAAAGGGATCTCATTATAATATTACCGCCCCTTAATCTGTAAGTTTCCACCCACGGCGCCATCATTTTGATATATTGCTGCTGCCACACAGATCTAAAATAAACATGGCATTTATTTCCCAGCTGTTTACCTTCACAGACATAACCGACTGTTTTTGTAACTCGTGTGTTTTTAAGGTAAACTTGTGTGTGAATGAGAACTTAGTGTAGTACTCACATGCTGTGACAGCCGCTTTCTGTCCGTGTGCTTCGGATGTGCGCGCTCAGAAAACCGTATATCAGAAGTTTCAACTCATATGGTTTAAAGCGCATGATTTCAGCGATAAACATTATAATCAGAACCAAAACAGATGTTTTTTAGCAGGTCCGAGCTGTAATGCGCAGCTCTATTCTGGAAAAGGGGGCGGGGAGCAGCAGCTCATTTGCATTTAAAGAGAAAGGCACGAAAAACAGTCTGTTTCTGCTTCCACTCAAAATAGGCATTTTCAAAATGATATAATAAATGATCTGTGGGGTATTTTGAGCTGAAACTTCACAGACACATTCTGGGGACACCAGAGACTTATATTACTTATTGTAAAAAGGGGCATAATGTATCTCCTTTAACACTTTTTGGAGCTATTAATTAACTACATAGAGAATACATACAGTATGTAAATTTCACATAAGCTCTTACCAATAAATGAGGTTCCAACTATGACAGCATTCTTACTGCTGGCGAGTGTTGCGATGCTGTTCGCATCTTCTGGTGTTCTGAGGTGAAACACATTTCCCACATCTTTGCCTTTGTAGCTCAGAGGTTTGGGTCTGTAAAGATAAAACGTATTAATAAAAAGCAACAACAACAGAAGTATTATTTTATTAATACTTATTATTATAGTATATTATTTTTGCAGAAACTGAGAAAGGTTTTTTAAACGACTCTAAAAAGTTCAAAAGAGCATTTATTTGAAACTGAATTTTTTTTTGTTTAAAAAATAAAATGAAATCTAAACTTTTGAATTCAGGCTCATTTGGTAGCTGTAGACATGTTTACCTGCTCCCTGTGGCAATGAAGAGTTTTCGATACTCCATTTTAAAACCATCCCGAAATGTCACAGTCCGTGTCTTCACATCCACAGAGACAACCTGTGAAGAACCATATGGTAATTTATGTAATTCTGCATATTCATTTGTAAAAATTACAGATTTAGACATACAACGAAGCACACAGCGCTTTCACGACATGGCGGCGTCGGCAACAATACTACAGCGAGAATAAAAGTTACGCCTTCTTTCTTTGCGTGAACATTTGGGCGGTGTTATGCAAATCTTCCCACATCGTGACGTAGACATGTGGGGGCGTGTTAGAACGAGTCGTTTTAGGTAGGTGTGGCTGACTCTTAACTTTTATAAAGAACATATCTTTGGATCTGAGACTTTAGTCTTTGCAACTTTACAGATCTTCTTTATGCACCAAGAGCTTGTAACACTCCAAAGAGAAAGGAAAAATTGAAATCGCATCATATGACCCCTTTAAATAAAGTGTCATTTCAGTAACGGTACCAAAAAAATATCATAGAATACTTGGAGTTGTTTGAAAATACCATAGTATTTCCATCGGATCACTGTATAATGGTACCACCACAGAGTACTTTGTAATAGTTAAAAGACACAGAATCACTTTTATAAGTGTTTTTCCTCAGTAATTAAAGAAAACCATTGTACATTTCAGGTTAAGTGTTCTCACCTCTTTCTCTAATAGTATCTCTATGTCGTGCGTTTGAAAGAAGTCAGATGAGCGCAGCTGAAGCTGCTCAGCTGTGCTCTCTAAACACTGAAAAAAGAGGGATGGGCATCAAATCAATATCATATTTGCTGAATTTTAGCATGTGCGCGGTCAAACTAAAATCTTCTGTTGGAAAAGCAGTCTTATATTCATTTGATATTGTAAAACTTTGTTCCCACACTGTTCTATAGACTGTTCTGTGTACAAACCTTACTCAGTTTAGGCCTGTCATAAGGCAGATGTGTGTCCATGGTGCACATGACTATACGGTCAGTGAAACCCTCCTGCCTCAGAGTCTCAGCGCACACCAGACCAGCAGGACCTGAGTGAGAACATCAACAGAGGTCAAGAGGAGCATTGTAAGGTGGCACCTTCATCTTGAACGTTAATCTGAATATAAATGCATGATTTTATTTGATGCTTCGGATGTCATCTCTTAAACGTTATCTTTTTTTCTAACTTAACAAGCAGTAATAGCATTGCCTTGTGTTTAAAGATGGCATTTAACCTTTGGACCTATTAAGTCTGTTCCAAATGTAGAAAATCAGCTGCTTATCTAAGCTGTCATAAAACATTTATAAGAAATAAAAATAAAATCAGTTTGGGGCAGGAAATGATTTAATGAAATGGATAAGTGTAATTCATGATGGCATATTAAAGTACATTTGTACATTATCCAGTTTCATCACCCACAATTAAACAGACAACAGGTTTTATCAGATTTGAAATAGTTAACCATGGGTCATTCTAAACCTGGGCTTAACAATTAATTAATTAATAGGTATTCATAAGCTTACGTTTCACTTTGTACATTCAAAACCCTGGGTTAACGTTCTTATTTGAGATTGGACAAACACTGCACGTGATCGGTCTAGACGCGGCGGCGGCGGCTCTGAATTTGCTCGTTTTCATATTCTATATATTGCTGTCTGCATTATCAAGTTTTCCTTCAGTGCACTTTTCGGACTTTAAAGGTAAGAATAAAACAGTCTTCACTCCAATTAACCTGTTTTCTGTCACCATTGAATATTTCCCCCTCAAACGCTTGTAAGCGCGCGTTGTTTCCGTTACTATCTAAGGGTGCTGTGTGGAGTCAATATAATGCCACATATATATGCAAAATAATAAAGTTTTGCAAAAGAAAATTAAGTATTGCGAGAAAAAAAAGAATTTTTGCAAACAAAAATAAAGAATTGCAAAATATAAATTAAACAGCACAAAAGCAATGATTTTGCAATACATATTTTCCATGGCCATATCTACTAATTTATTTGCAACGCTGCTTTTATTTTGCGTTTCAGTCAAGTTTGAGCTTGCAATACCGTTTTTCCCTTTGCACTTCACGTTTCTGCGCGTCTCGCGTTCTGACACTGTTTTGACATGGGGGTGGAGTCAAGGGACGGGGGTGTGTACAACAGGCCTGGGCATGCCTCCCTGGAAGTGATGTCATCGGCCCGAGACGCAGCTCACTGATCCAGGCACCATCGTTGAGCAGAGGCATGCAGGTGGATTTATTAGTGGCGGGTTATTTTCTTTTGCAAAACTTTATTATTTTGCATATATATGTGGCATTATATTGACTCCATAGTGCTGCTTTCACATCTGTGGTTCAAAATCAGCTCATGGTCTGGACCAAGGGCAACAAATTATACATTGTAGCATTTTCCTGCCGTTTTAAAATACTTGAAAAGGAGGCACGCGATTGCGTGACATAGCTGTAATATTTTAACACAGCATTGTTTCAAACTGTAGTCTACACGAAATAGACCAACTCTAACTGAAAGAGGTAAAAAGCGGTGCTGAAGTAAAAAAAATGGGGTGAAGAAGAACGACGATAACCCGGGCTAAGCGCAGGGTGAATTTCAGGTAAATTTCAGTTTTACGGTGCACTGAAATCTAGGTAACGTTAGTTCTATATCCTAGCTAAAGAGGTTACTGGATTGTAAAGCTGTCCACCTTATTTTCAACATGGAAGTAAGCCGATTTCTGTGAATGTGTGAGACTTCCGGTTCATTAGCCGCTGCAAGGAAACAAGTTAACGAGAAGAATAACAAAGTGCAGTAAACGGTAAAACTGCACGCACTACAAACTAGTGTGTTCATAATTAAGATAATACATTAAAATAATATGGTAAGACA